AGTATTTCATACAACAGGAACCCAGAAAAAAGCAGGGGTAACTATTCTATTTGCAGACACCATGAATTTCAAACCTAAAATGATTAAAAATCATAAAGAAAGTCACTACACACTTGTTAGTGGAAAAATTCAAGAGGAAGAACTAACAATTATAAATATATATATACCAAATACAGGAGCATCCAAACTATATAAGACAGATACTAATGGACATGAAAAACCAAATACACAAGAACAAATTATAACAGGGGACCCTAACAGCCCATTGTCTCAAAGAGATAGATCAACTAGACAAAAAGTCAGCAAAGAAATAATAAAACTGAATCATACCTGCAAGCAATTGGGCTTAGTAGATGTTTACCGAGTGTTCCACCAACCACAGCAGAGTATACATTCTTCTCAGCTGTGCATGGGACATTCTCCAAAATAGACTGTATATTATCCCATAAAACATTCTTAGGTAAATTCAAAGGTATTGAAATTTTCCCATGCATAATATCTGACCATAGCACACTGAAATTGGAAATTAATGGCAAAAAAATTGCAAAACCTGCATAAATACATAGAAATTAAATAACAACCTTTTGAACAACCAGTGGGCTACAGATGAAATTAAAGAAGAAAACAATACTATATTACTAAGTTTTTGTTGGATAGTTGAAAAGAACTGTTTGAAATTACATATCTGCTTATTATTCTACATTAGTACACATGAACTTTGGCACTTTTTCAAGTCTGGCATCAAGTGAAAGACTTATATAATTAGGATTATTTAAATATTATTGTAAACGAAATATTTTAATCTTTTGCTTTTATTATACTTTTTGATTATTGTTTGTATCTAAGCAATACATTGGATTTTGGATATACTTTCCATATTCATGTCTTATTGAACTGTTTTGTTTATAATATACTGTCAATTGATTCTCTTGAATTTTCTAATATAGAACTCAAATATATGAAAAAAGTTAATTTTACCGCTTCTAAATTTTCATTTTTTTCTTTCCATTATATTAACTACTACTTACATTGTAATGGAAAACAGAAACACTGAAATGACACCAAAGATTTGGAGACATTTATTTAATGTCGGACTGGAACTGACAGGGATCAATTGTCCCTCAAAATGTCAGGCCCAAAAGCCCAGGGAGGGAGGTTTTTATGCGGTCTTCCAGGGGAAGTACACAGGTAGAGTACTTGGCTGTCTTTGATTGGTTCTTAGAAAATGCATCATACTTAGCAGCTATGCATCTCAACAATCAGCGGATTTTAACAGACAAGCAACTGGCACTGTAAAAGAAACTTGCATCTGGGCAACTCAAATATACTGGTTGGCGGGGGGGGGGTGTTTTCTGCTACAACATAGCAATGTTAGGTAATTAGGGATAATCTGCTGTCCTGTCCTATTTTTCTAGTTTGAAAAAAATGCTTTTAAAATTCACAGTTGAGCATTATATGAAGTTCCACTTGGATTTTTTAATTTAGAAAAGTAGGCAAAAAAAACCCACATCAACTTATATCAGTTTTTCCATCAGTGATTATTTCAGTTTCTTCTAGTAGAATTTTAGTGCTGTGCAAGTTCAGTGTGTGGGCAAAGTGTTCCTTAATTTCAGGAAAGCCTTTTCTTGGTATTTTCCTCATTTTACTTCTTATGGTCCTATCTTCAGGAACAGTAGAATTTCATATAGTAATCTTGGTTTGCTTTCATATCCATTATTTCTTTACAGAATTAGTTTACGTGTTATTCTCAAAGTGTTCTATTTCACTGACTTTTGTTACCATTAAATGTGTTCCTACTTTTTGTTGCGTCTTATGTGATTTTCACTTCTGTTCTTGTTTTATACCTCTCCATTTCTCTTCTAAGCTCTGCTTATGTCACTTTCAAACTCATTTAATTATCTCCCATTTTAAGATCAGAAAACTATTTCTTTCATAGCTTTGGTTTCCTAGAGAAACTCATGCTGGACTTTCATATCAACTCATGGCCTTGGTAAGATTCTATAAACAAGTCTGGTCACTGGCTGACAGTATGCTTCTGCTCAAGTGAGAGTCACAGTTCTCTTTTACTTCTCAAAACTTTAATCCTTCAGCCTGCCAACTTCACAGTCCTCAGCTGGCATTAATGGCATAGATGGTTTCCTTGCTCTGAGAGTGGCCTAATCTACCATTTTGGTTTGAACACAACTCAAGATGATTCCATACTCCTTTTCACTGATCCGTATTATGTCATCTAGGGAGGCATCATTGTCTTGGCCCTCAGAAAGATCAGGGTATGCTTAGAAATTACATAAAAGCTGACAAGATACAATGTCCCTTTCAGTTTCCTTCCTCTGTTGGATCTCATTTTGCATTAAAAAGTCTCCTGCATCAGCTGGGATTCGGAACAATGACTGTTTTCAGTTTTCATAAAAGAATTGACTTTCATTCATGTTTTAATTTTTAGTGATTTCTGTCCACTTGAAAGGAGAAATCAGAACTGCTCTATCTACTACCTTTAGTTTGGACATTTTAGCAACAATTCTTAAATTCTTTATTTCCCTATGAAAAATGTACCCTAAGATTCTCATTTTTATGTATCTAAACTCATTTAGGTACTGTAAAAGGATATTTTTGCCTTTATTTTTTACCTTTTACATGATAAAATATTTTAAATTTGATCACTAATTCCTTGATTTGTGATCCTGTGCTTTGATAATTCTCTTGATTTTATCTATTAGTTTCACTGATATTACAATGTAATAAGTGAGCAAGACACATTCAAAATAAATGATTTTTGTCACTTCTTCACTAGGACCTTAATCTTCTCAACCATACATGATGACTCATAATAAAGAGGAATATTAATAATCAAATTTAATTATTTACATAAAGCTTAATCTATACCTTAGTCAATCAGAACATATTTATAATTATGGGATTTCTAATAGGCTATAAACCCTGACAATCTCCATGTTTTTAAGTATGTTTCCTAATTTAAACAACTGGATATGAATGCTAGGCTCTATGTAAAGATAAGTATCATCCTAATCACACTTTTAACTGAGCAGTCAAAATTAAATTAAATGCCCACATTAGAAGCCAGTGACAGCAGGACACAAGGAAAACCCCCTGTAGGCTCATTCAGTTACTTAGTGAGAGCCAAATAACAGAAAACTGCAGTACTTCAAGAGAAAAGGTCACGAAATAGCCAAAATAAAAATAATTAGAAAAGAATAAGAATTTAGTTAGGGATACATATGACATAGAATCAGAGGTACACACACACACACACACACACACACACACACACACATACACACACACACACATTCACACATTTAAGGAGGTATAAGGATAAAGACAAAAAACCCAGCCATGAATGAGACCAGGAAAGTTGGAATGACAACACTGGAATGAAGAAAAAGCAAATCACTATACAGCAGAAACAAAAGACAATTGTATGAATACCAAGTAGGGAAGGGGTAGCCAGTATCCTAAAAATAGCAAAGAGAACAATGTTATTGTGAGAACAAGTTATTGTTTTAGATGAATCATTTATTTTTTACTCATTTATTTAAACCATATCCTATCCCAAAGAGGCTTTCAATCATATTGCAAAATCTATACATAGCAAAATCACTAGACAAGAAGGATGAATAGTGAGCATGAGAAAAAGATAAAGTTAGGGGGATATATTAGTAAACAACAGACCTCACTAAGTTCTTCACAGCCAAAGTAAACAGAAAGATGTGCTACAAGGTTTCCAAAGGCTATAAGGAAAATAATCCAGCTGTTCGCCAGAAGCATATGGGTTGAAACTGCAGTGAAATTGTCTCATGCTTTTAATCAAGAGAACAGACTGCATGATAAAATAGATGACACTCTCAATGCCATTTCTACCATAAGTATGATATAAAATTCTGAGTAATGATCCTGTAATTTCTTCAGTTCAATCCAGATCATAACTGCATAAATATTTCAGAAGACAATTATGTAAATGAGCCAGATAAGCCACTCCCAGATGGTCTGGCTTATCCAAGAGCAAAATTTAGAATGTCCAGAGAACATTGCATCTTTTGCTTAATCCTCGATGAATATTGTTTTCACAACAAATAAATCACACATGAGGTAGTCTTTCATAATACAGTTATTATGTACCTAAAGATAATTCATTAAATAATTTCCATCTAGGCAATGCAGGCAATTATATTTTCTAAACTAGGCCACTTGTGATTAAATACCCTTTGCTTACCTTAGTTTCTCCTGATTCCTGTCTTCTTCTTTAGTTATTCTATTATATAAAATGTGTAAGAAAATTATTCTTAGGTAAAGCTCCTTAGGTCGTTGTTTAGAGCAGATTTTGTTTATATAGTAATTCTGAAAATGCTATAATATCGTAGAGATTAGAAATGTGCTTTATTCCATTTACCCACTAAAGTAAGTATCCAAATTCAAAAATCCCAATACTCCTGCCCTTAAGCACTATTTCTATTTTCCTGTCTTCATAGAGGAAAACAGCACCACTGATCCAAAGGAACAGTATATATATTCTTGTGGAGAATTGTTCATGCATTAGGTTTGGAAATACTGAAATTAACTCAAGAAATGTGGACAAGATAGAAACATCAAGAATCACACGAAACTCAAAAGCTTTAAATTTTGGGATACTTTGACTAGGTTTTGATATTTAATTTAATTATTAAATATTATTATTCAAAAAAGAATTGAATACAACAGACAGAGGCTCCTACCCTTCAAAGGCCTGCTTAAGCCAGAGTTCTGGGAGGCTGCGGTCAGGTAGATTACCGTTCTGAGGGAAGTCTGGGTGCCTTAGTGACTCATAAAAACATGCTCTCTCTGTCCCTGTCTCTGTCTGTCTCTGTCTACATATGAGGGGCCCTAGTGGGGCTGTAGCTCGATGGGAAACCTGCATTTCCTAGGTCCATTGCAGGAGTTAGTATAGTAGTGTCTTTTAATATACCTGGTCTAGACAGACGCTTGTTCATGGAAATAATCCTTACCTCAAATCGGCAACTTTTCCAGTCTTATTAACACACATAACCTCCCTGGTCTGATATCCAATCTGGATGTCCCAGTACTTGTTCTCCTGTCTGCTCTGCCTGTTTCGATTTCTCTTTTTCTTGATAAGCTCCCGGGCCTCTGGGTCCTTGACTCCTTTGCCTCGGTCCTTGTCTTTGTTCTTGCCCCGCCTCCTGGCTTGTCGTGCAGACCTCAGGTGCGGAAGGGAGCACGTGCTCCAGGGCGCCACCTGCAGGCTGTACAGGCTCTCCTCGGCCTCGCATGGCCCGGACTGGCACACCTGGAACTCGGTCAGGTTGGGGCAGCCGGAGCCTCCGAACCGGGGAGGTGCCACCACGTGTCGCGTGCGGTGCTGGAGCCCGCTGCCGCAGGTCTTGGAGCACTCAGACCACGGGGAAAACTCCGACACGATGCAGTCCTGCTGGCAAGGAATGAGGCAAGCTTGCTCCAGGAGGGGTTTGGGCTCAAAGTACTCGCAGATGGAGTCCTCCGCAGGAAGGTCTTTGTCTTTCTGGATGCAGGAGATCTCCCTCACCTGAATGCCTTCTTCCCCCTTGGTGCACTCCAGAGGCCTCTCCAGGCTTTTTGAAATCACCGGCTGACACTGATTCCAGGGCCCAAGTCTCCAGTCATACAGCTCCTTGTGCCAGTCGCACACTTTGAAACAGTTCTGCTGGTTACTGGGCCTCCCCACCTGCTTGCAGTTGGTGTGCAGGGTGGTCCAGCCCTCGGCATGCGCGCACCACACAGCCCTGGTCTGCACGCCTCCAGGGCCACAGTCGTCTCCCATGCACCGGCCCCAGGGACCTGCAAAGGACACAAGAGTTAACAGAGCTGCCAGGAGGAAATGACAGGCTACTTCAGGTCCCAAGGCATCCCAAAGCCTAGTAATTAACTTCCTGAATTGCTACAAAATAGGTCTCTGTAAGAGACTGCCGGAAAGTAATGATCTTCGCTAAGAATTTTTACAGAAGGGGAACTGTGTCACAGTGTCTATACACATTTAATGACTGGGGCCTTTCCACTTTGGATCCTTTTAGGATTATTAAGAGCTTGCTTGTATTTCTTTGCTGTGTTTTACAAAACTAGAAACCCTCGCTCATAAAGGACACTTGAAATTAGTCAGAGTGAAAACCCATTACTTCTGCCTCACCCTCGTCAAACACATTTTAGTAACTGGCAAAGAAAATGGCTCCGTTGGGAGGGCTACCTCTCCTCAGGCCTCTTCTTTCCCTGGGCAGCCAACTGCTGTGCCACATTTGTTCTCTTCCACCTCACTTTTTTATTGTTTCATAACCTACGATCACAAGGATCTAATAGTCATACATTGTGTGTGCTGACCGTGTTTAAAGTATTGACTTTCTGGTGACCAAAGCTGGAAAGTGAAGATCTTCATGTAAGCATATTCTGCTTTTAAACTTATCAAACAATTATTTTTTTCTAATTTCCTCCAGTGAGGCACAGAGACAACTAACGAATTTAGGTTCAACTAAGAGTTTTTTGAACATTTTGCTGAGAAGTTATTTGGGGCTTAATTAACGTATTCATTTCCTAAATTTGAACTATTTCATATTACAGAGCTGTTTATGGGATATTTAAGTTGAGGGCTTTGGTATGATATTTACATGTAATCCTTTTATCCATGAACCTTTTTTTTTAGAATAGAGAGAACTTGTATTTCCTATGTTATTTCTTTTTCTAAATAAAAGATATGATTTTCAATGCTTTAACAACTTGAGAATTATATTTTAGAATTGTGAAGAAACTTGAAGATCATACAACTGCATGGTTTTCTAAGTGTGTTCCATAGATTTGAGGAACTGACACCTGAGACTGTCTTCTATAGGTTATCAGAGGAGGCAAAGCACAGGTGGAATATTCTAGAGTCCACATATACTGCTGCCTTCCTCCCTCATTATTGATTCTATTCTTATAGACCTATGTTTACTACTTATTTTTATTTATATGGAGATTATGCATAAAATTTTGGCTCCAAGAGATTTTTGCTACTAAAGAGTGAAAACCATTAGACTAGACCAATGGTTATTCTACCAATGAGAAAAACAGAAGACAAGAATAAGAAAGTCATTCTAGATTTTAGGTCAATTCTTTTAGCTTCATGTTGTACCCTAGATTTTAGAGATTGAGGTTTAAATATTGTCTTCTGTACCAAACAAGTGTTAGCCTAATGAAAATGAAATATTATGTTTAATTTAAATGTTAAGAAAGACACTTAAAATTTGATTGTTATGTTCCTTACACATGTTATAAACAAGCTGTACAAAGTGATTTATTGTAAATATTGTAATCAATAATTTTTGCATTGAAAATAAGTATTGAATATTTGGCCTACACATTCACATTATTGCATTATGAAGTTTATATGCAAAGAGCTACAAGGGATTCACAATATGTTTAGAGAAACAGTCTTCCTTGCATGATGATGTCAATGCTTCATGAAACTATAAAAGCCAATGAGTTTGTTGCATCTGTCAGCATATAGCCAATGATATTTTAGTATTATTTTAATTTTGTCAAAGAAAAATACATTTACTCAAAAAGCTAGTAATGCTTTCTTAGAGAATAGCTAATTGTTCAATTTTGGAATCACAAAATTTAAGACACTTCTGAATAAAAGAAACCTATTAATATCTGTAAAAGCTAAGAATTAATTTCATGCATCTTTAATATCTATTTTCTTTCCCTACTATCTTTGAACAAATTAGTAATCCTAATTTTTCACCCTGAACACAGCACAGAAACATATATTTAAATTAGACTCTCAAGTTAGGAGCAATGTACCTACTATGGCATCTGAATTTCAAATTATATATCTATCTTGTACTAACTCAGAGTCTAAATCCCAAATGCAATTAAGAAAGTTCTCACATATTTTTTTTCATTGTTGAAATTAACTATGCAATGAGACTGACTTAATCACACATGAACTATGTCATCACTTAGATATAAAATGTCTCTCAAAGTCCGCAGATGTTCAGAAGTGGGACTACTGGAATGTTTGTTGGATCATGGGGAGCACAGATTAATCCTTTGATAAGTTCATGGCTGAATGTGCTGCTAGGAATAGGGCCTTGTGGGAAGAAATGGGTCACTGGGACGTTGTCCTAGGAAAGTGTATACCTGTCTACTGCTCTCACATCTCTGTTTCCTGGTTGCCACGGATTGTGCAGCTTGATTGACTATGCCCTTCCACCATGACTTGTCTGCTTTGGAGCCAGGTGACCATGCACAGAATGAAACCTTGAGCCAAAATAAAGCTCTTCTTTTCTGAGTTGTCAGTATTAGGTGTTTTATTGGAGAGAAGAGAAAGTAACTAATAGAGGCTACTAGTAATTAGTCTTTTATGCTCAAAATAATGAGATTTTTACAGAAAACAAGTATTTAAAAATAATTATACATGTGTTGAGAGATTATTCTATCATAATGAAGTATGCTATTAATTAATGAAATTCATATATTATTATAGAAAATATAATTGTGAATTGACTTCAAGTTGTGTTATTGCTATGCAAGAAAAACATTTATATCCCAAATATTGTTTCTTTTAAAAAAGCTTAAATAATTTGGAAACTGAACTGAACAATTAGGAAACTAAAAATACTGGCTAATTCTCGATCTAAAAATCATCCTTGACAAGACATGGACTGCTGAAGATGCCAAACTTATGAATAAAATTTTAGCATAACTCCAGGCCTTGAAGTTTCTGCTAAATTAAATGTGAATGCCAGTTATCTGAAAAATGACTGATGGTTCATTGCCATCAAGAGGTCTCTTAGCATCCTGTCAGAACACCCTGTGTACTTTTCACATCATACACAATTTCAATGAGTTCAAGGAATAACTGACAAATATCATTTGTTATATTAGTCCATCTCTATGGCCCATTGCACAGAGGTGTTTTCTGTCTTCTGCAACACTGGCAGGCCGCAAACTTAAATAAGCTCAGCAATATCTACCAAATAAATGAAAAACTTAGAAGCCAAATAAAAAATAATTATGATTCACTTTTGGTTAAATAGACAGATGCAATCTTATAGGCAAATTGATAAACACAAAAGGGGCCACTTCAACATATCTTTGATTAAGACTTGATTTTTATCTATTTCATACATGAGGTGAGCCAGTAACACATTTTGTTAATTTAAAATGTATGCATATATATATTTACAATTTGAACCCACTAAGTAATTAAACTCTAATTTTTCTGTTGCTTGTTTAAATATTATTACATTTTAGGGATAACAATATCCACATTTGATATCAGTTTGAGAGATTAGAGACTATTATAGGTGTTAATATAATTTCTTGCTTGATAGAAAACTTTTTGCTTTCTAAAAAATTTATAATCTCATTTTCAGAAATGAATTTTAACTACATATAAAATGTTTTACTGAAAATGTGTAAATGCCTTAAAAATTAAAAAAATAACAAAAAATAAATATATGATTATCTTATAAAATGAATTGAATGTCCTTTTATAACTTTGTAAAGAATAACAATATTCTTCCTAATGGGTCCAGGAAATGTGTTTCCATTTTCTGGTTTTGGGAAGCTAAATTTTCCCAATTGCAGATATCTTTGAGCACTTATTTTTCTATTGATTTTTCAGTCTTGATGCCAATGCAGAAAATGGTCTGTTGATCACAATAACTTTATGAAAAACTAACTTAAGATTACCATTTGACATGTAAAATATTGATAAAACATTTTAAATTTAGAATTCACTGTAAAAGATGATTGCTATTCTGATTTTTCTCATTGGTTACAAGGTATATGGCAGTGTATGTATATATCTTTTTACAGGTTTGCTTATAGTTATATTTAGAAAAACTGCATTTTTATTAATTTAATGAAAAAATTAGGTACACTATGTATTTGAATTATGTCTTTTAATTTTTCTAGCTTACTTTTAGGTGAATTTCCTCAATTATTGTGTTCACAAAGGGAAGAAACTAATTTGCAAATCTCAACATCTAGGGCATTGTGTGGTTGAAGTCAATATCACAGAGAGAACAAGACCGAGTTCCAGAAAACTTCTGCATTATTTTTTATGCAATGATAATCAGTAAGAATTTTAAAATGTGCTTACAAACTAGGAAGAGAATACACTATATATTCAAATACATTTATGTCCCATTTGAACAACATTATCACAGATTCTTACCTAACTAGCTACCCATATGACACAGTGTTGAGTTTATTTTATTCCAGGCATATTATTTACCTTGAGAACCAGAATATAACATATCTAAAGAAAACTCCACAAAGATCTATAAAAACACCTACTGACACTAAAGCAAAGAATAAAATGTGAAGGTACTAGTAAAAGCAAATGTTGCAGTGTAATCATGATTGAACCTAAAAAGAACTCATCTACCTCGCAGGCTTCAACTGCTGTCTTATCTTTTCACTGCACCTTGGGTATAGCACGTGTGCCTAATTAACTGATCTCTTGAAAGATCAGATGTTCACCGCAGTATACTTGATGAAAGGCTGTCTACTTCTGCCCTCCAAGCAGTCTTAAAGTAATCACACACTGAAGAGCAAGGAGATCCCATTTAAAAATGTCCTGACAACTGAGAATTGTTTTCCCAATTAGCTTCCATGTTTCAAGGAGAACAAATGCTTTAAATTACAATTTGAAAACACAACACACAAGCTCTATTAAGGTAAATACACTCCCCAGTGTAATGGGATCATGTGATATTTTATATCAAACATCTCTGCAGAAATGTTACAATTCAGACCTACATCTTCTATTGCTAAGAAAGAAGAAGCTGGTAGAA